CACACACACACACACACACACACACACACACACACACACACACACACACACACTCCCCAACTAGAAACTTATCTCATGGTTTTGATCAGATTGATTCCAATCAGTTACTGGTTTGCATAAAGTGATGTTATCGGCTTCTAACAAGTCATGTAACGCAACGTGGCAATCAGGACCTTATTAATAATGAGGATTATCAATAATTACGATCTTATTAATCATAAGGAATCAATAACATCACCTTATACAAATCAAAGAACTGATCTGGATCAACGATCTTAACTCTTCAAGCGCACTGTGGTGTAAATTTACACCATCGATTTCTTCAAAAAGTGATATTTTCGAGATACAATCAAACCAATTTTTCATTTATTGCTTTCTTATCGGCTTTTATATCACCAAGTCAAGTTGCTGATCTTCATTTTTTATACAAAAAAAAATGAAAAATTGTAGTTAATCAATTCGGAGCCAGGTCATATGTTGACGAAAATCGTTGGTACAAATTTGCACCTCTGTGCACTTGAAGGGTTGCATGGATGAATCAATAAAAATATTTCTAATTGCAAAAAGAATATTTCACCGATAATCAATAAATATTCACTGTTTTTCAGTGAAAACATTCCTACTTGCTCCGTCTTATATCTTATTGATTTTGACCAGTGAAAGTAAGATTTCACTGAAAAATTCGTTATACGCGCGTTTCGTTATACGAAATTCAACTTTCTGCTTTCGTGGTGATGGAATTAACAGCTTCCAAGCAATTCACGTAAGACGGCACTGTTTACGTTTGCAAAGCGCATCAATAATAGTGACATTCGCTACTTAACTAATCTTTTCGGCGAAACTTTACTGATCGCAGCACTATACTTATAAATAAATCAGCAGTTATAAGTATAACATTTCAGTGAAGAATACACTCTGTATTTTAAAGAGCAATATTATCGGCACCTAATAAATTATGTAACGCAATCAGCACCTTATTAATAATAATAATAATAACGATTATGAATAATTGCGACCTTACTAATCATCAGGATCCGATAATATCGCCTTATATAAATCAAACTGATTGGGATCAAAGTTCTTAAAGTGAATCAGTAAAAATTCAGTGAAAGAAATAGCTCACCGATAATCAATGAACATTCAGTGATTTTTAGATTTGGAGACGGCCCCACTTTACTGCCTTATCGTATATCTCACTGACTCTGACCAATGAAAGTAAGATCTCACTGCAAAATTTGCAGCACACAAATTTATTATCCAACTTCTGGCATTCAATTCGTTATCCAACTTTTTGCGTTCGTGGTGATGAAATTAACGATTTCCATGTACTTCACGTGCAATGGCACTATCTGTGTTAGCAAGGTGCATCGATAATGGTGACAGCCTCATATAGCACAAATCTCTAAAAGACTTCTTAAAGAATTCCAAAAGTGTTCTGGAGGACTTGGGAACTCTTTTGGAACTCTTTAAGAAGTCTTTTAGAGATTTGTGTTAAATAAGGCCTCGCTTCCTACTATTAATTGATCCTTTCGGCGAGCTTTTGCTGATTGTGACTGAATTATCGTTCAAAAAATAGGAAAAAGGGCAATTCGAGTTCAAGCACAGGACTAATAGTTCTATATACTATAAAAAGCCTTCCTTGTGTTAGGAAATCGTGTAATATTTATTGAACATGAATAATCAATATAAAACAATCATACGTTTCGGCTCAACCATGAACCCTCTTCAGTGATAATAAAACTCAAGGTTTACGACACGAACGCATTACAATTAGTAAAAGACCTGCGCAAATTGACATGAATATTAGTCGCAATATTAAAGCCGACAAGACCGTTACCGAAATAATATTAAGTAATAAATTAATATTGAGAAGTAGCCGTCATAACTATAAAAAACAAATAAAATAAAATAAAAATAAGTAAAATTGAAATATAATAAATAATTAAAACTGACAATATAAAATACTTTTGTTGAGTTCAGCTAAAAGTAAACCGATCCTGTATGATTGTTTTATATTGATTATTCATGTTCAATAAATATTACACGATTTCTTAACACAAGGAAGGTTTTTTACTCATATGATATATAGCACTATTAGTCCTGTGCTCGAACTCGAATTGCCCTTTTTTCTATTTTTTGATTGATATCTTCGTTTGCGAGTTCTTATTTCTTTCTCTAAAATGAATTATCGTTAATAAGTGTAGCATTGCAGTGAAGAATACGCTGACTGCACTTTAGAGAGAACCTGACCAGGGTCATGAGATAAACTTCTAGTCGGACTCATGCCACAATGCTGCGAATCCGTCGTCCTTCATCCCGCCGTTCTGACGTGCGCTGTTTTATCGGGCACGCGCGCGCACTTACGGCCGGTGGCGTTCGTTCGCTGGCCAAGGTTCGCGTGCAGTCGCGATTCTGTAGGATTTATGCGCAATTAGCCGCAATTACCCGCAATTACACACCGCGATACGCGTTCCGAAACGCTTCACGATGATTCGATTCGCGCGAGGAGCTCGCGAGGTGCTGGCGACGCGCGATTTACCTACTCACCGTGTTCCTCCGAAGCACATCTAGCTACTCCTCATTGCCTACTCATTGCCACTACTCACCAGGTTACTCCGAGCCACCACCACGGGGAAGACTACAAACGGACGGTGCGATGCAAAGGAGGGCCAGTCGCGCTCTTGGGTCTCCGCTCTTCCCTCCTTCTTTCTTCACTGATAAGCTTCTCTCCGTTTCTCTCTCTCTCTCTTTCCAAAATACATCCGAGCGCTCGCTCCTCGATGGCGACCCCCACGTGCGGCGTTCTCACCTCGTAACTACTCTCGCGCTCGATCTCGTCGTCTCTTCGAGAAGTGAAGAAGAGAAAAGAAGAAAAGGAAAAGCAGGAAACGCGTAAAGTGGATGTCCTGTCGCTGCGCACCGCGTCACGTCGCACAGTACTCGCGAGTTCACCGACTCCGCGGATTGCGATCTGCTATCAGAATGAAGGCTTTTCTTAAGGCCGTCTTATACTTATGTCGCTGCCCCCACTGTGAGGCGCGACGCGTACCCCGAGCGTACTCTTCTTCCTCGTGGTGTATTCGCCGAAGAACTATACCCCCCTCTAGAACAAGGCGATACGCACGTCCTCGGCACACAGACTCGGCACACTTTCGTTCGTTCGTTCGTTCGTGCCTGCCTTCGTTCGTTCGCACGTTCATACGTACGTACGTATGTACGTACGTCCGTTCGCGCCTCCTCTGTCTTCGCTTCACTCTTGCTGACGCATCTTCACTCTTCACGACACTTTTGCTCTTGATCGCCGAAGCGCCCGTACCCCGAGAAGCCGAGCGGCAGCTTCGCTTCAGCCGGTTCCCGCGTCGTTGGCTCTGAGCGCCCTTTTCTCGAGCGAGTTCGCGCACCTCCGTCAGATTTTTTGCCCGCGACATTCCCCGGGCGGCTCTCGCGCTTTCTTAAATTCCGCGAGTGAGACGAGATTGATCCTAGCTCGCGCTCATGTTCGCCATGATACCGTCTTCGTCTTCCTACCTGCGATTCGCCATAGCCGAGATAGTCGGAGATTCGTTCCGGTCGCTTTGGTTCGCACTTCAATCAAACGACAGATCGATCACGATGATGAGCGAGATTTGTTCGACTTTTGAAATTAATCGCTGGGAATTAACGCGATCCGTTTCGCGAGTTTATGTGTCATCTTTCACTGCTCGTCTCCGAGATCTCTCGTGCGACGTTTTGAGAATTCGTCTATCGTCTCGCGGTCTATTTTCTTTCTCTCTCACTCGAATACATACATAATACATTATTTTGAATGTCCAGATTCTGAGCATTTTTAATATTGACTGAATATTGATGATATAAAATCTGGACTGTTCAGCTGATATCTAGAAGTCTAGCAACTCTTTATATTGGAAAAAATGCTGTTATGTCAATAAAATTCCTCAACATCGCCATAACAAGTCTTCTTGATCGAATATTGTGTGTCGAAAGTAAACTCGAGTTATTAAAACATTATATGACGTATTAGTTTCAATAATATTGTTATTAAACAGACTGGAGGGTCAAATTATCTGAAAATCTTGTTTTTTCACAATTTTTTATGAGTGAATATGTGAAAGTGTTATTTTGATGTGTATTTATGTGTATTTATACAACATATATAGAAAAGAAAAATATAAATAATGAACAAATACTCAATTTCCGTAAGCTTGTCATCGGGTGAACCACTGACAAACTCGTGAAAATATTTAATTTTGAAATATTAATTTTTTTACTATAAAAGAACTGAAAATTTTAATAATATTCCATTAAGATATTTGCAATTTTGTTAACTGTTACTCAATTTCTATTATAGTGGTTCAAACGATAACGACAAGCTTACGGAACTTTTCTACCTAAAATTCAGCTTAATTGAACCACTGAGAGTCAAGATATTACTGCAAAATGATGACTTTGAAAAGAAAAACGAAATATATTTTAACTGCATGTACTATACACTTATATTGAGTATTTGATCATCAAAATTATATTTTTTTTTGGATATAATAAATCTATTTGAATCATCGGTTTAATGGGGTTTGGGAATTTAAAAATATATATATATAAAAATTGGGACTCAAGGATCGGTCTAAGTATGGAAGGTTGATTCTCCGCGTACGATAATCGAAGAAAAATTTCGATACGTGCGTTTAACATGCTGGACAATTTTATCCTCCCACTATCATATTAATATTAAAAAATAATATTAGTATTTAATAGCATTAAGACATCCGTGCTTGCTCCTTATGTGTCTTTTCAAATCTTACTGTTAGTTAATCTATTCAAAGGAGCTTTCTATAATTTCGGTTTTATATTTTTTTTCTCTTTATATGTTGTATAAATACACGTCAAAATAATACTTTCGTATATTCATTCAGTTTGTCATGAAAAATTGTGAAAAACAAACACGATTTTCAGGCAATCTGACCCTGCAGTCCCCTTAAATCAGCAAGATTTACTCAATTATGAGTCAATGAGCTGTCAAACAATTTTATTGACACAACAGCATTTCTTCCAATATAAAGAGATTGGAGTTGTCAGACGTCCAAATTTCAGCTGGACTGTCCAGAATTTACCATCAATATCAAACTTTGTGTCTAGCTAATATTAAAAATTCTCAGACATTTAAAATGGTACATTATATCTTTTTGTCACTATCGTAATTGTTATAAATCTGTGATTATATTCTTGCATTTTTGCAATAATTAAATAATAATTTTTTTGTTTGTCATTGTCAATTATAATTATAAATCTGTAATTATATTCTTATGTACTTGTTGCACATGTTGTATACTTTTATACTTTTTGTATATGTTTATACTTTTTGTATACTTAATATAATATATTTTTTATCGTAATAATTATAAGTCTGTTAATACTCGAGAAATTAATTTTACAAACTATATTTCCAATTTTTCTTTTTTCTTTCTTTTGTTGGAGATTATCCAGATTTTTTAGTTCTGAAATCTGTTATAAACACGTTTTAAAGTACTATTAAGGTCATTATATAACTGCGTAAGCAATGGTCATAAGAGTCAACTAATCAGAACTTTTATTCACTGATTGCTTTATTTTGATTGGTTGTCGTAATTACTTACAACCACTTACGATCACGCTTAGGTTTATTTACTATAATTTCAATATAGTTGAGCTTTACAATAAACATTGTGAAGAAATATATAATTTTAACGTTATTTTTACTTATTTTTTCAAGAAAATTTTACTCCAAAAAATTTAAAATTTAAGGAAAAAAGTTACTTTACAATGCCTGTACAACAGTATAAAGACCATTCTACAATTGCGTAAATAAATTCACTCTTGCAATTTCGAGTAACAATATTTTCATTGTTGCTTCGAGTGAAAATACTGTCACTTTTTACTCGTTTTGAATGAGATTCCACGTCCGAGAAATTTAGAAAATACGTTACGGTGAGCATATTTTACTCGTATCGCTATTAATAACGCATTAAAAATAACGTCACTTATCCGGAATCGATGCACATTAATTCCACTCTGATCGTTTCTGTAAGAAGGTATGATCATAACGGCGGAGAGAAGAAATCTCAGTGTGAAGAGATAATAATTCAAGGTCTAACTTTGCATAGGGGAGATTAGGCCCCAAGAGTATGTTGCTCATGTATTTTTTTTTATATTTATCTTGAAAGGAACAGTGGATATAAAATTGCGAAATAGTTTTTTAAAACATAGACATTCCCCTTAAGCTTCATTAAATTCGGAACAATATAATAAAAATATAATATAATACAGTAAAAAAATTTCGAGTCTTTCGAGATTATGTATTGATTTTCTCCGTCCATTGTAAGTAAATAAATTTAAATGACGTGTTACCAGCAAGAATGAGAAATTTCTGGCAAGTGTATATATTGTGATATATTGTTTCGGACAATAAAATCAATTTTCATAAAATGATTGACATCGAAAGCATCGAATGAACGAGAACTCATATATATTCGAGTTGGCCCATAATTAAAGGCTGGCAGGAGCTCTGAAGATCTTTCGCGGAAAACCCGGAACTACTAATCAGAATTAGAGATGTAAAATTACCGTCAAATTTAAAGCGACGATTACTTACAGTAAAATTACGATAGGACGATAATGTATTGATAATTCTGGTAAAATTCGTTATTTTTAATAGTTTCATGCACAAATATTCATGTTTTCCGCACTAATGCATAAGATAAAACAACATTCTTCTTATATTCTAATCAAATATACATCTGATAATCTCTGAAATGTGCATCAAATAAAAGAAAGAAAACTATTTAGAATCCTGCGAGAGTATTAAAGTTTTCATTTTTTAAAATACTACTAAAAATGTTCAGTTATATATCACAATGTAGTCGTTGAAACAGCAAAATAATAAATAAAAATGCTGTAAAATGGTATAAAAAATATAGGTTGAGACTGTTTTCGAGGTATATGAAAAAATATTGAAACTTTAAAAAATTTATTAAGCCTCTCTAATTACTATGTATCTAAAGTTTCCTAATTATTATATGCTATATATGTCGATATACAGTATCAAAATATTTTATAAAAAATATAAGTTAAATAAAATATTTTACTCATCTTGAAGGCTAAATGTTCTTTTTAAGCTTTATTCTAAAATTGTTTTTTTTCTGTGATTTTTCTGAATTATCATTTTACCAGTTTTCAAACTTTACTATGTAAGTTACCATCAGAGTGGGTTATTTTCATTTCTAATTAGGATACATATTTTATAAATGATCTGCTTTGTATGTACATGGTATCCCGAAACTATCGCATGCTATTTTAATGGCAGATTCTTTAGAACATTTTAAAACGAAAACTTTCATACAAAAATATCGAGGCTATAATAATTTTCAAATGGGAAGCGATTATATTTCACCAATAACAGGGCTGAGACACGCCGAAGTGATAAAGGTGCCACACGCCGTATAGAATAGTGGACACCTTCATGGTAATAATTGATCGACATTTTGACAGATTAAATTGAAATATGTCATTTTTACTTGAATCATATTTAAGATGTCTTACAACTATTATTCGTATAAAAAATATACTAATGTAATGCGTAGAGAAGCGGTAAAATATATCATGACAATGTTATTATAAATTTATACAATGATCATAATATCGTAAAAAAAAATGATATTTATAAGAACACCTTTATCACTTATCATTTCGGCGTGCCTGAGCGCGCGAAATCTCAGCTGTGTCATTAGTGAAATCATTTCCTGTTTGAAAACTATTATAGCCTCGACATTTTTGTATGAAAGTTTTTGTTCTAAAAATGTTCTAAAGAATCTGCCATTAAAATAGCATACGGTAGTTTCGGGACACCCTGTATTTACCCTACGCTATTGAGCAACTGAACACGGTAACTCGGTAACAGAACAAGCTCGCTATATTGTTGCGTATGTATATTTTGAT